TACAACTAGTGAAAGCTGACTGAAAAATAGTGGGCCAAGAATAATTAGAGCTTCGTTTTGAAAGTTGTCCTAGTGACCTCTATGCAAAATTGCACTGTATAGCTTTTTTGAAAAAAATGCATCAGAAGTAACATTTATAATCATTAAGATATTGACGCTGTTATAGGACCAGTGCTTCTATATGCCGAGACCATTACAGAGCAGGAAATGCATGATCAAGGCAAGTCATTAACCACCATCTCATCTGGTTCCTAGTAAATAATTGCTGCCAGAACTACATCCAGGCATTTTGGGGAATTTTTACAATTAAGAATGAAGTGACTTTCAAGGACAGTTTTGTCCACCATCTCCGATGTAACTGTTCTTTTATTTAACATCTGAATTTCCTTGCCTTCCTTCTCTACAGCTTGAATGAGCAGGTGAGGTAGCCTTAGCAGTTTCTAAGGTTGTGCCCTGATAAAATAGTCTGCAGCTTAGGGACTGGTTCAAACTGTGTGCACCCTGGATTTCTTCACAAACCGTCAACGGGAAAGGCGACGCTTTGCTTTATAACAGACTGTTTGCTTGTCAAGAGATGAACAACTACTACAATAAAAAAAGCCATCTGCGTTCCTCTGCAGACGCTTCTGCCGACAGGTTTTCGAGAAGTGTTTTATTTCTGCACTCCTGAGTGCTGCGAGACTTTCCAAGCACCCCTAGCAGTGATGGCACAGTGAAAGCACAGGAAGCCAGTGAGCAGGGAGACTGGAGTCCGTCGGGGACCTGGGGCCGAGATCCGATTTGCTCCACAATTGAGTATCTGTCTCCTTTTGGGGAATCAAAAAGGGGAACAAGCCTAAATGTGCACAAGGCACTGGGGTTCTTTCAACAGTCATTAATCATGAATGTGCTGGTACAGGAACAGTTAAAATGTAAACGTACAGAGTCCTGAATACAGAGGCAATTTGCAACATAACCAAACCAACTAGAAAAGACTGGGGGGGGTGTTACAAGTTCCTAGAGCGAATACACACTCTGGCTCACAACGTTGTGCTGAGAGGATGCTCCTGTCCACTACTCCTCACACACGGAGGCCGGTCACTTTCAAGGACAGTTTCCGTAAGTCCACACTGCAGGAGCACGTGGGAAGATGGAAGGAACTCGGGTTCCGTCAGAAATCTGCTCCAGTGGGAACTGAATTAACCCCTTCACAATTGAAAACCGCTCAGAATGGGCTCAGTCAGAAACAAAAATGCACTTGAAAAGCCACAGTGATTCAATCTATATGAATTTAAACTTTCAGAGATTGAAAGTTTTAGCAAACTTATAGCAAGTGGATAAACTAATGTAACTTTGTTATTGGAAATGAGGATCAGCCATCACTTTCGTCACATTATTATTATTTAATAATTGCTTACAATTATATAGTGCTTTTTTGGACACTCCACTCAAAGCGCTTTACACAGGTAATGGGGATCCCCTCCACCACCACCAGTGTGCAGCCCCACCTGGATGATGTGATGGCAGCCATAGTGCGCCAGAACGCTCACCACACACCAGCTCTCAGTGGGGAGGAGAGCAGAGTAATGAAGCCAATTCATAGATTGGGATTATTAGGAGGCCATGATTGGTAAGGGCCAATGGGAACTTTGGCCAGGAGCCGGGGTTACAACCCATGAGATTTTTAACAACCACGGAGAGTCAGGATCTCGGTTTTACGTCTCATCCGAAGGACTGCGCCTGTTTACAGTATAGTGTCTCATCACTATACTGAGGCATTAGGACCCACACAGACCGCAGGGTGAGCACCCCCTGCTGGCCCCACTAACACCTCTTCCAGCAGCAGCCTTTGTTTTTCCCAGGAGGTCTCTCAGCCAGATACTGACCAGGCTCACACCTGCCGAGCTTCAGTGGGCTGCCAGCTGGGAGTTTCAGGGTGATATGGCTGCTGGCAAATTACATAACACAAACCAATGTAAAATGGTTCTTATATGGCTACAGAAGGACTAACTGCACCCTCCTGTTCTGACATGGGGAACCAAAGCACCAAGAAATCAAGCCTTAAGGGGTGCTGAAGCAGACACCGCCAGTGCAGAGACTTCTACATCTTAGGCTGTAAGGTGTGTTGAAGGTTCAACGCTGGAAGAAATGTGATCAATCAGCTTGCCAAACAAGCTTTCAGCGCAGAAAATGAAATGTCTTGAGTTACACGATCATCAGCGCACCTAACTAACAAACACAGTGTGGCTTTGATACCGTGCTCACATGTTATCACTTTAGATGGCTACACCTTATCACAACCATCCCATACGGTGTCACTTCAAGTGTCTTACAGTAAAAGATTACTGAACCTAAATGTTAGTTTTCTTTGAAAGAAGTTTCAAAGAAAAGAAAAAACACTGACTGCACAGCAGACTCCAAAAAAAACAAACCTGCCAGCTCTACACATTGGGCTCAAAATGATTAATTAGTGGTGCAGACAACAGCTCTAGCAGAACCTCCTGTTGGAAGACACTGGCTCCGACCACCCCAGCCCTGCAGTTTTTATAACTTTTACACAGCACATTGCCTGTCCCAGTGACACCTCTTTGACCAGCTCGATCAATTTCTGCCTGCTTTCAAAAGACATTTATGGGAGACTAAACTTTTAACCCTCCTCCCCAGCCCCATACTCCGACAGCACAAGCGACTGCAAAACAGAGCTTTGCAACCCAGCCCTTAGCAGCCAAACTGAAAAAGATTACATCCAGGGAAATGTTTCAGCCAAATGTTTCCATTCCATTTGCCCTCCTCAGTATCAGCCCCTCCATCCCCAACCCCCCCTACACACAAGCACACAACCCACCCCTCCACCCCCCCATCTAACTAAATAAGAAAAAAAAAAATCACAGGACTCCAAAGACAGAGACAGCTGCAGCTTATAAGGAATGCGAGAGGCCTCTGCCAAGAGAGCAGGCAGGGAAACCATACCATATATGGCCATGGAGGCAGAATCAAATTTTTATCAATGAGAGGAGCATGGCTGTGTGTGTATGTATGGCCATGCCTTGGGCTGGACAGTAAGTGGAATCAAAAACATACCACTCCGAGGGAGATGGAAAAGGCCTGCAAACAGATGTTGAACTCTTTTTTTTTTTTAAATATTATTTATAAATCAAATAAACAGCAAAGGAAACAAAAGCCACCAGCACCTGGCTTCTACAGGAGCGTACTTCCAGGCCTGGTGAACCACACAGGATTATACAATCTCCGCTATTAACTGAACAGCTCTACTGGAAACTGAATTAACCCTTTCAGGGTTGACTAGCACTCCAAATGGGCTCAATTAGAAAAACCAACCACACTTGAAAAGCTACAGTAACTCAAACTGTGTGAGCTTAAAATTCCAGAAGATAAAGGTTTTAACAAATCGTCTAGAAAGAGAACAAACCAATGTTATCATGCTAAAGGACAGGAGGATTAACGACCATTTTTCTTCTTATAATAATGACATGACCAATGTAAAATTAACTTGTTGAAGTTCTTATACGGTAGATCATGCAAATGGGTTGCAGAAAGACAAATAACTGTACCCTCTTACTCTGACGTGGGGGCATGAGGCTGATCCAAACTGAAGAGGTTCAAACACAAATTCCACTGCATCAAAACTTTAGTCTGGCAATTACTTACAAAATGTCTTTAGGGTTGATGATGTACTGGCATGCAGTAGTTCTTTCAATTCAATGATAACTATGAACTAATGTATGGATCTAAAGACTCCATCTGGACTTCTGTTTATTCAGATTGCACCAAACTTCAAAACCCAGAGGTTCCAACAGTCTCCACAACCCAGTTCAGTTATGGATAGCAAGTGGAACGCAACAGAATAACCCTGCTTTGCTTCTGCTTAATCCTTTGCAGATTTTCTACAATTTAAATCAGCCAATAAATTAGGCCTAATTGCAATCACATACTATTCCTGGAGCACGTCCAGTTGACCCATTTGTTTCTGTCTTTGTACTATTCTCCAAACTGCAGGATCTTCATAGACATCAACTCATTACAGACTAAATGGTTGGCACAGGGGGAATCATGAATACCAATAATGGTGCTCTATTAAAAAGTCAAAAACTAACACTTTAACTTCACACCCTTTGTGGCACTGAAAGAGGACAGCGTTATCTTTCAGGTTCTTGCGAGTGCAGCTCCTCTCACAAACCGAGAGGCCAGCAGGCACACAGGGTCTAAGTGAGAACTGAATGATAATGGGGAGGAGGGATAATTTCCCACCAAGATGTGTCCAAATAAGGAAGTATATTGCAATATCAAACAATGAAGACCGAGGTGGGTGGTGGAGGGTCTTGAACCTGTTTAATAATACATGTAATCTCTCATGAAAAATTATCATTTTGGAGAAGAACAGTATCGATGACGTACGCCGTCATGTATATTTAATGTGTGCATATTAGGGCTGTCACAGTCACTCTCCGTCTCTGGTGACGGCCCTGAGTTCCTGAATATTTTATTAGACAAGGCCCTTTTCGCATAAAGGTTCATGGAGATAAAAATCAGTCTCCATCAATCTGGTTAGCAGAGCTACAACCAGCTCGGCTTCGCGTGTACCCAGGCAGAGCAACGCCACTCCTGAGAAAGAGGTTCTCAAGAGTCCCAATGCATCCTTGCAGAAATGAGCTTTTTTGTGGCTGGATAGCCAGTAAAAAAATTGAGGTGTAACTTAAGATTTGCTACTTATACTTAAAAGGTCTCCCCTACAACAACACCGCCACCAAAAGCATAGAGTTTTAGCCTGTTCAAGCGACATGCACACATACTGATCCAATAATATTGTTTTGGGGTAACTGAAGAAGTTCTTCTCTTCATATCTGTATTTACTGCGTGAAGGCCAGCACAGCGGTCCAGCGGTCAGCGCTGCCGTCTCGCCGAGCCAGGGCTCGGAGTTCCCCACGGGTTCACACGGGTTTCACCCCACAGTCCCAAGACATACTGGTAGGTTAACTAGCTTCTAAGAAAACTGGCCCTACTGTGTGTGCGCGAGAGCCCCATGATGGACTAGGATCCCATCCAGCTGTGTGACCCCCATAGGCTCCGGCTCCCCCGTAAGCCTGGATTGGATAAAGTGGAAAACGAAGGGATGGATTTACTACATTAAGCTTTAAAAGACTGCAAAACTGCACAAATTCCTTTATGACGCGGCATTAACGGCACACTTTTTTCTAGCCGACTTCGGGCAGCGATATTCACTCCTGCTCCCGGAGGGCCGCAGTCCACAAAGTCCTGCAGTGAGAACGAAGCTCCGGGAGAAAAGACCTGGAAACAGAGGTAATACAGACCAGTTCAGTGAACGATCCATTCACTTCTGGTTTGCGCTCTGCCCTGGACCCGCCAGTCCGCGGATGTCTGAAGAGCGGGGTACGTGACGGCACCTGAGGAGAGGAGTCGGGGCAGATCGGGGCGCAGAGGGAACCCACCTTCGTCTCTCCACAGCTGTCGGACTCGGACACCTGGTACGTGAGGTCCGTCTCCTCGAAGCCCGTGGCGCTCATCCGCTGGTCGGTGGTGGGGTCCGAGCGAGGGGGCGAGTCGGGGGAGTTCAGGCAGGTCTGGATCAGGGCCTTCCCCGTCTCGCTGGTGATCATGGGCTGCAGCTTCCGCGTGGCGAAGGTGTAGACGTGGCCCGTCTCGCTCGCCACCAGCAGCAGGACCTGAGTGCCCGTCAGCGTCGACAGCTCGTACGCCTGCCGGGAGGAAGAGGCGCGCACGTTAACCCAGGAGGGGCGCGCGGAGAGCACGTCGCACTTCACACCACTGGAGCCCAGCGCCAGCCCAGGAGCCAGGCTGCTGAAAGACTACCCCAACTCCTTTCTGATGCACACACACACACACGTTATGGTATCAAAATCAGCTGCCAGGGTGAATCCCAGTGTGCCCCCGGTCAACATGAACAAGATTTAACAACTTTGAAACCCACAACTCTGGGGAGTTTGAGGGTCTCTGGGAACAAGCCGTCGATGTCAGGTTGTCAATTTCTTCACAAACTCGGTCTGACTGAACCATCTGTTCTTTAAATCTGGGCATACGTTGTTTGGGAAAGCATTCTGAAGACGCCAGTAACGGTAATGCTATGATTTGCGAGCATATTCGTCTGGTTTAAATTTAGCGTAGCCCATTTTATTCCCCCCCGCCAAACACCGAGAGAGTTCCTCGACAATCACATTTGCCCTGTTCAGCTCAGGGGAAAAAAACTTCAGAGGACTGCTACTGACACGACCTAAAGGAATCCACAAATCAAGAGAATGGGGAGCCTAGTGTTTCATAAAAGGTATTCATATGAACAAAGTACACAAAAAAAATCAATGAAAAAAAGTGACTAAATATTGTGAATGCATCGCTAAAGTCTCAACCCTTAGTTTCATTAAAGATTGCCCATCTGACTAGGACTGCTTCAAACCATTTAATAATGCTGTCCAACATTATGATGAAAAGCAAGCACAGGATTCAACTGACAAGTCTTAAGGAAATTCAGCTAAGCTCTTCTCACTAGAAAAGGGCTTACTCATAGCTTGAAGCAGCATCGAAAAAACGGATTAGCATTGTTGCCAACCTTAAAAGATTAGCGGGATACATCAAGCAAATGCTTTAGTATAAGTAACATCAAATATCAGATAGAATCAGATATAATGAATCAAGCCCTACTACACAAATATATTGTATTGGGCACACATTTACTCCTTACATTTCTACCAACCTAGATGACAATACACCCGGAGATCACCACCCACTAGCACACAGGCATTCTACAGCAGGGTACTGAGCACCTGTCAAGGTGTAGAAATGTTGTTAACACTGTGTAGAGAATGCATGTCTCGGGACACTGCTTAAGCAGAAAGACCCAATAGACTGTGTGACAGAACATGCGGCTTTACCCATGAGGAATGAAAATGGATATTTAAATGTTGCTCATGCCGACGGAGTCTTCCCAGGCTGCACGGCCAGGCCCCTCTGTCCAGGAGCAGCGAGTGAAACATGAGAACATTAGCGCAGACAGGAGGGTTCTCTCCGTCATTACTGCAGCCTGAGGGGAAACTCATTTTCATGGAAAAATGGGAATTCCCAGAGAGTGTTTGCACTGGATTGCTTGGTCCAGTGATCCCAGTTTCCTTGCTCCTTCCTAGCTCCACGGGCCTCCATCCGAGCCGCCTTGACCAAGCTTACAGCAGGTACCGTGGTTTCAACGGAACGCATTTCATGCTCTTGTGCACAGGATACTATTATTCCTTAAAGTTCTTCACTATGTAACCAAGCGATTCCAACTCAAAATATTTTAGAAAGACTACATCAAAATGAAAACCTAAACTGGTTAGAAGGCAACATCCTCCCAGTCACAGACAAAACTACAGGACAGGTATCAAAATATTAGATCTGGCCAACGGAGACAAGATCGCACTCGGCACAACACCCCTTTCTCTTCTGTAGTCTGTAAAGCTACAGATGAAGACGGGAAATACAAACATTTTGACTGCAGTCACTTTAACGGATTTGAAAAGACATCTCTTGGAGCAGCCCTGACCCCTGGTACCTTCATGGTACCTTTATGCTCTTAGTCTGCAGGCAGGCAAGCAAGTAGATCAGGCTGCAAGATGCCTGTGAGGAGATGCCTCAATCTGTCAAAGCTTCCTGCTTCCGTTCAGTCACATGGGGCAACGCTGCAGCAAATGTCCAATGAACACGTTAGTGATTGCACCCTTTTGTACTAAATCTTCATGCACAACCTCAAAGATGGATCAAATGCAAAGGTTTATCTCTAACGTCACCAGCAACAGGCAGATCAAACCGAAATCCTATCAACCCTCGTGCAATATGTAACACTCAAGGAAAAAATCCAGAGTGAACCTACACTTGTGGATGCTGAGAACATGGAATGTGAGCGGCCACTTGTGTTAGAGTATAGAGATGTGCACATATCCATCTACTGTACATGAACACTGGAATAAGGAAAAAAAACTTGGGTCCTGCCAAAACACTCAGAATACTCCCGTGCTGATGTAATGTGATGAAACAATTTGCCACCTCCTGCTCTCGAGGTTCCAGTTTGTTGTTTTAAGAGGTCCAGAAAGAGAACGCCTGTTCTTCTGGCAGCAGTGGGCCATTTGACTGCCACCCTCGATACTGCCCTCTCCTATTGAGTATTACAAAAGCAAACATCAGTGGGGGTTATGACTTCTAGCCTGTTGTTGGCTTTTAATGAAGCACATTGTTTGCTTTAGACTTGGAGAGAGAACATAACTCAAGAAAGCTTATCTTACTCAGCTGGGTGTCTAGTAGCCGACTCATCCAAGAGCCTTCTACTGGTTTCTGAAGAGCAGGAGTGGGGAAAAAAGCCCCTTCTAAGTTTATCCACAATGTGCAAGCCGTCTTATTTCTGCCATGCCTTTCCCCTGGACAGAGAACGGGCCTACACAGCTCTGCAATGTGCAAGCATGCAGCCTCCAGGTGCTGATCAACTATTGTAAGCAGAGGTGCGACACAGACCTGTTATTAATTACCACATTGTTACCAAAGGAGTACAAGGCTTCACCTACACTCCAGCTACAGATTGTGGAAGTACTTTTAGAAATAAAATCACAAAATGGGTGGGAGAGAATGCAGAAATAAAGAATCAAACCATTCAGTGACAGGATACGGGGCAGAAAGCCGCAGGGTAGATCTGTTGATTCAGGCGAGACAAGAGACACAATGAACCAGGACTACGGGTCAACCACATCCACCCCAGGCGTCAACCTGCCAGGCCAGACAGCCAGACCCCTGCCTCTCCCGCCACACTAGATTTACAGGATCTCACGGACGTCCATCACAATTGTCTCAGGGAAACGAAAGCAACCAGTTTAGGCAAAGCCCAACCAGAAAGCAATGACACGGATGAAAATAGCCCACTTTTACACAGACAGACGTTTTCCGTCTTCATTTATAGCAATTGGCAGCGCTGTCAGAAATGACCCAAGATTTCCAGTCGCCACCAACCACCTTAAAATGGGCTGGGGATGCCAACAGCGCAGGACTGAATGCATCAAAGATGTCGACACCGTGCTAAGCTGCTAAATCAGTCTTTTGAAGGCCACCAAGGCAAATCAAAGAAAGTGCAAGTAAGCTAGCTGCATGAAAGCCATAAAGATGTGAAGGACACTGCAGCTCTAAACAGTGGTTGAATTGCGCTTTACAAAGTAGTTTCTAACTGTTTCTTAAGAGCAGAAACAAAAGAGACAAAGGCTAGACTGCTGTTCAGGGGAGACGGCCAGGCTGAGACATGGCTTCTCAGTAAACAAAGACCGCCCGGCAGGGAGGGAAGGAGCCAGGTGGCAGGGCACACAGAGGCACCCTGGCACTGCCTACAGCGCTGCCTGGCAAGCTGCACCAGAGAGCCAGGCCTCCCTCCTGTTCACTGCCCGGACGCCAGAGAGGACAGCAGAACTGGAGGGGCAGGAGAGACCCAGAGCCCAGCTATAACCATCAGCACACGGTAAGGGCCGGTGTACACAAAGCAGTCTATGTGGTTTTTAGATTTTTTTTCTCCTACAGAAATGCAGCTTAGTGTCTAATATGTATTTCTATGTATCCAAGTATGCACAGTAGGCAGCCGGGTTAGAAATGCGTCTGTACTTTGCCGTTACCCTGTACCCTGTTCATTAACAGCTGGCTCTCATTCACAGCACAGTGGAATAGCCCTGCGAGAACATGACCCCTCAGACATGCTCTTTGCCGAACGCCACACAGCTGGGCACTGCCGCCAGCGCTGCGCCAGGCCGGACCGACAGAGGGCTGTGCTGGAACAGAACGCTCAAGCAGCCAGCGTCTGCGAGCCCAGCCAGACTGGCATGCTCCGAGTACATCCCTGGGGTAAAGCAAACTCATCGGGCTGGATCACCTCCACACTGCAAGGCTAGGAGCCATTTCTCAGAGCACAGGAAACAGAGAGGCTCACACCCCTCCTCAAGGTGCAGAACTGCAAGAAAAGGGAGCAAATTAATAAAAATTATCTATTCCCAAAAATAACATTTCTTAATGCTCATGTCTTAGCTCAAAATATTAGAAAAGACTACATTATTGTACAACCCAAATACTGAAGTGGCTTTGTGGAGATCCCCAGCTCAGACAGCATGAAGAAAACTAAGGTTGGTTTGATCATTTATCCACAGAAAAAAAACAAAATAAATTCCAAGTACTAGACTACTGGTGCTGGTGGTTGGGTCTCTGAAACTCCAGACTCACAGTATTCTAGCTCAGGTAATACTTTCAAACTAATTTGTGCCAATAACTGCACATTTAATATGGCAAAATTGAAAGGCCAAGGGCACAGAGACAGACACACCAATAGAAACTACAGTCAGTAACGCAGTGCTAATTTTCATTGACGAAACTGTGACACAACCAACCCGTTTACATGTTAGTCAACGCTGATGAATGCTCACAAAAATAATCCACAATGATGATGACAAAGACGCAATGGCTTTGCAGGTTTGACTCATTTGAGACATTACCTGTCTGACTAAAACTCATATGGAAATCATTTTCATCACCTGAGGCTCACCGTAGACGCATCTTTGCTCTTCATCCAACAATCACACGCTCATAAAATTACTTCAGCTGCAGGGAGCACCACATAAATTATTCCCCGATAAACCAGCAAGAGCCTCGAATATAGCCCAGGCAGAGAAGGCGGATTAGTCACCAAGCTGGCCCA